ATTGGCTCAGGATAACCACGAACGGAACATATGTGACACAACAATATTCTCATGCTATGATGAACAAGAAACACCTCAGAATTTGTGTCCTCTGCAATATCATGTGGCTTAATACCTAACAACAACATAAAAACAATAAATATTTAAATTTTTATAATAAAAAAGAAATTCATAAATTAATGGAAAAATTAACCTTCTCCAGTATTGGTTGATTCTTTTGGACATTTTTTGTGACCTTTGTTTTTATTTTTTTTCTCTTGAGTGCCTTGTTTGTTGTAGTACATTATCCAAGCGGACCATGCTTCTTCATACGTGGCATATGATTTATGTTTGTTACCCTTGTAGCCACTAACATGTGCTTCACATTCTTCCCAACAGCAATAAATTCCTGGGTTTCGTCCCTCAAAGACGACATAAACCTTTGGCTGAGAGCTGTTTGTACTCATGTTTTTTGTGTTAAAAGAGGAGGTAGGGATGAACTCAACCTGACAATACACATTAGCATTTATAATCAAATTTTGACGTTAATAATGCAAACATTTTTCAATCTATAAATATTGTACTAGACGTATATAAAAAACCATAAACCCATATGATTTGATATTTTATTTTTGCATGTTATTTGGTCAATCAAAAACCAAAAAAAGGTGTACACAATGGACAACCAAATTCAAACAATTGGAAAACCATTGCCATCATTGAACTTTGGCAGTAAGACATCCATTTAAATGAACAACTTGGAATCCAAGAGTATGCGGTCAGTAGGTTCTGCGGATGAAGTTGTCACATAATGATGACAATACAAATGATTTGATGTCGTCGGGTTGCTCTCCATGTTCAAAAAATATGTATATTCTATACATCCTAACTTAATAATATTCAGAACGAAAATGCTGCAACTTAGGTGTCAAACAATGTGCCCAATTTTCTTGCCAAATTGTTGTACAACGACAAAATTTTTATATAAAAATATAATTTTTTGTAAGAATATTATAAACACAATTTTGTATTTTGACCATCGTATATGTTTTATATTGACTAGAAGGGAACCACTTCGTGCCTCTAATACTTACACTCACATAAATATTATAAATTATCATAGTTATTTAAAAATAAATATAAAAAGATTTTTTTATATTCAAGGGATATAATCTTCCACTAAAAAGTGGAGACCAAAGAAGTGATTACTAAAATATATCTCTTTTATAATATGTATACAGTGTGAGTTTTATTTTCTAAGTCTGTTATGCTAAATATGTGAGTTGTTTTGGTTTAGGATTGTAGTGGGAAGCTTGAATATGAAGTTGAGGTGTGAGTTTGGAAGGGTTGAGGTATTTTTGTGGCCTTAGATATATTGATACATTATTGTTGTTTGGTGTAGAGGATATTTTCGCTGTGGTTTTGTTGTGCCAGTATGAGTACCGTATTGACAGATTTAGATTTTATAATCTTCACAAAAGTTGTAGCCTTGGACGTTATCTTTCCAATGGAACTGGAATAAGGTAAAATGGAGGTCTATAACTCCAGTTATAGCTACTTTGGTGATCAAAGGTCTAGTTGTAAGCGCTGAATATATCTGCTGCGGTTTTTGTAATTTTAGCTAAGAAGATGATCTTTTTAGAATCTTATGTCTTCATAGGAGTTGTAGCTTATTCTCTTAGCTTTCTTTTGAGATAAGTTTGAGATCATTTAACGTAAGTCTATCTAAGATAGCTAAGTCAATTAGTGAAGTTAAGAGTTTTCTTAGATAAGCTTATTATTATAGAAGAGTTATTGAGGAAATTCCTAAGATAACATTACCTTAGACTAGATTGACGAGGAAGAGGAGTTGCCTTTGTCTGGGATGGCAAGTATGAGAGTAGCTTCCAACCTCTTAAGGAAAGGTTGGCTAGTGCTAATATTACTGGATTTTAGTAAGCCTTTTATGGTATATAGTAGTGCTTCTAAGATAGGTTTGGGCATAGTGTTGATGCAAGAAGGAATGGTAGTAGCTTATGCTTCTAGGAAATTGAGAAATCATGAGAGGAATTACCTTACCCATGACTTTAAGTTAACAGTTGTAATATTTATATGAAGATTTGGAGACACTACCTATATGATTCTAAGCTTGAGGTATTTAGTGATCGTTAGGGCCTTAAATATCTTTTGATCAAGGGAGATAGTTGGAATTTCTGAAAGACTAGGATTTTAATCTTAGTTCTTATCTAGGTAAAGCCAATGTGGTGATCGATGCTTTGAGTAGGAAACCTTTATATTTTCCTTTCCTTATGATTAGAGAGATGGATCTTTTAGTTCAAATTAAGGATTTAAGCTTGACTTATGAGGTTACCCTTAGTAGTGTGAGACTAGGTATGACTCGAGTAACTAGTGAATTATCAAAGGAGAATCGGGGCAGCACAATTAGTTGATTCATTTTGGTTACAAGATATGAGGCTATAGGACGAGGTAATTGAGAGAAGTTTGCCTTGGGTATAGATGAAGTGGTAAGACTTGGAGATCGAGTATGTGTACCTAATGAACTTATGCTTAGGTGGTTGATTTTTAGAGAGGGTCATAGAAGAAAAGCTAATATTGTGGCAGATGCCTTGAGTAGGATGACCATTCACCTACCATCTTTGATGATTTAAGGGTTGGATTGAAGAACTTAGAGACTTAATCATGATGTGTGAGCCTACCCTTAGGAGCATTGAATTTAGTGTGTTGAAAGTGACTCGTGAATTAATGGATGAGATTAGAGAAGCCCAAGAGTTAGATCTTTTCTTAGTGAACCAAGTGGAGAGGATTGGTAGAGGTATAGATAGCCATTTATGAGTGGAAGTTGATGGTGTTTTCGAGTTTAATGATATGATCTATGTGCCTAGTAATCTTGAATTTAGGAAGATGATCTTGGAGGGAGGACATAAGAGTACTCTTAACATTCATTTAGGAGCTACTAAGATTTATCAAAGTGGCGCAGCGTAAGCGTGGTGACCTAAGGTGAAGAGAAGAGTAGAGGAATTTATGTACTCAGAAAACCATAGGTCGCGAGATCGAAAATTTTCAGGTTGCGACACATCCTATGACACATATCATGCAATAAACATGAGCATTCTATTGATGTTCACCAATTTCACCTATCATACAACATGTATCACATGCAATTCATCAAAAGCACTTATTCCTACACTAACAACCTTCACCTAAAACAACTCATAGGGAGTTATACTACTCCAATCACTCTCATCATTATCTCATATGAAATACAAGAAGATTTTATACAACTTTCATGAAGAACTCAGGTTCTAATTCACTCCTCTACCATGTTAAAAATTGTAAAAACCGCAACCATTTTCCTAAATGCTGACAACTTGACCTTTGCTCCTTAAAAAGTTCATAACTAGATATATAGACCTCCTTTTTGGGTGATTCTAGTGCCATTGGAAAACTAACATCCAAGGCTACAACTTTCATGAAGACCTCAAGACCAAATTCGGTCATCTAGCCCTAGCGCTGCAATGCTTAATTCAACATTCCAGCTTAGATTATCTGCCAATTTTGTTTTCTCCTGGGGTTGCAGTGCCCAACTTGGAGCTATAGCTCCAAGTCTCTGCCAAATCAATTTCTCCTAGGGCTGTAGTGCCCAACCTGGAGCTGTAGTGCCAGATCTCGACCACCTTGTTTTCTCACCTAGTTCAACGCTCCCCCTAGCGCTTCAGCGCCAAATGTAGAGCTTTCTGCATTTCCATGGCTTCCCCCTTCGTTTTCACCTATAATCCATCAATTTTTACCCCTAAACATGATCTACCTTTATAATCTCTACTCATTTTGTTCATACAACCTAGAAAACACCAAAAATTCAACATGCATGCATCTAGATGCAAAGAAAATCATCAATGTTAAATCTTCCGTCAAGACAACCAAAGTCTCAGCTTTCAACATGCAACCAACCTTAAATCCACCTCCAAAACTCAAATTTTCAGAAATCCAACTAATATTAAGTTTCAATTCAAACAACTGGCCAAGATTCTAACTTCCCTTACTTTGGAGGGAGAAGAATTTCGATTTCGAGCTCATGGGGAAGAGAAGAAAAAAAAAGGAAGAGAAAGGGAAATGCGAACCAACTCCGTGCTTCAAGCTTTCTAGCTCTTCTACTGTCCAACATCTATGTGGATCCAGAAATTTGAGGTTCCCTAACTGAAAAGAGTGAGTAGAAAGGGAAAGATAGAAAGAGATGAGTGGGAAGGAAGAACAAGAAGAGCACGGGTCTTATAGACTTAAATTAATCCTTTTAAGAACCCTAACATTTTTCTCATACTAAAACATAATCAACTCATTCAAGACTTGAAATATATAAAATAAGACATGATTCACTCCAATATTTTAACATAATATATAATTATTAATATTATGCATAATTAAGTTGTAAAATAAAATAAGTGTAAAAATAAATTAAAGAATATTTTGCAAATATATTTTAAAATAAATAATAATATGCTTTTGAACTAATTTTAACCTAACATAATATTTTTGATATACATGTATAAGATACATGGTAAAGAGAAATCAAACACATATATTATAAATCTTATCATATTACAAATTATAAACATGTAAGTTTACTATTTTTCTTTTATATTGTATGAATCTTGAAAAATATGATTACAAATATTTTGCATAAAATAATTTTAAAAATATAATAACTTTTTTTTAATGAAATTTAATGTATATATATATATATATATATATATACACACACACGTATTAAATGCATCTTAATTCGTATATATGACACTTCCTATAATCCTATAATTTAAAGACAAAATTCATCACGTGTTTAAAAAGTTATTTTTAAGAAATAAATTAGAATTGTTTCTAAAAAAAACAAAATTTGAATAAACACATAAATGATCGATAAAAGAGAATATGTACATACATACTAAGAAAACATTTTTAAGCAACGGGAAAAGAAGTGAAAATATATTAACGTAACGGGCATGAAGACCGCTACTACCTGCAGAGAATATTACATTATCCCTGTTGTTTGAAACGTGTGAAAGTTAAAAAGAGATTAGAAAAATAGTTTTGTTGGTGTAACGCAAATAAGCACCCCACGGCAGAGGGAACGATTGGAGTGCACGAAAGCGATGCCAAGCATTGCAATTGCAATTGGAATTGGAATTGGAATTGGAATCGGAATCGTTTCGTTAGCCACTGCTTGATTCCATTTCCATCGCATGGACACAACCACCCTATCTCTCTCCACTGATCCACGTTAATGGATCCCCAAGCCTCCGTGGATCCCCTTCGCGTCAAGAGGAAGACGCTTGAGGCCGTGCTTCTGCACTGTCAGAGAGCTCTCCAATTCATCGACGCTACTTCTTCTCAACTCCCCCAAGAGGATTGCGACGCTGACACTGACGCTGAACCCACTGCATCAGCTGATTCTGACGCCGACCAGGTAATTCAATTCATCTTTTCGTTTTAGGGTTTCCATTGCTGCGGACTTTCCACGCTCAATAGGACAGAGCATCACTCTTGTTGCGCTGACAACGTTCGTGACCTAAACACCATCAACTTACGTCTATTTAATAGTACTGTTCCAATAATTCAAGCGCCTGATCATAGTTAAACAATCGTGTAGTGCGTGTTGCCAGGGGATCTTCGATTGCTTTGTTGTGCGGGTTCAAAGGGACAGAACATAAAATCGGTTTTAAAATTAGAAAAATAAATGTTCATTAGGTTAAATAAGTGCCATATTTTGATTTCAAGGGGGAACTGTGAACAATAGAATGATGGTAAATAGTATAATGCTATGCTACCTTAATATGGATAAAATTTAGCTGATTATCCTTCCTGACACAGTCCATGTCCTACAATGCAGTTATGTGATCTGCTCAAATCTAGAGTTGAATGTCCTGCCTTTCTTCAAAAGTTGGAGTGTGCTCAGGTGTCAGTTTTGCAGAATATAGACGGTATATCTTCTGCATTTTTATGATTTCATGTAATTGGTGGTATCTCTTTATTGTTTCAAATTTAGAACGATAATGAAAAAAAAAAGTGTTTGGTTGGGCAGAAGAATGTAATTCTTGGGATGTGGTCAGTGAAAATGATCTCTGGGAAGGTGAATGTGATGACTCAGACCAAGAAGATTATGTCCTTGTTAGACAAGAAGATATAGTGGAGGGCATTGCGTGTTTTATGGCCGCATATTTGCTATCCCTCAAGCAGACAAAGGTACGTGATATGTATGCGCTTGTTATTCAGTGGGCTCTGTACTGTATGTATATGTTATTTTTGTTTCTCTTATGCTTAGTTTAATTCACTGTGATATCATTCAAATAATGTTCTTGTGCAATATTTTGAAAATCGTGAGAATCCAAATTTTTTGCTTCAAACTTCAAATTATCTTTTGACATGCTATAAGAACCAGCTGTTGCCTACTTTCTGCTATTCACCTTACTCACAAGTCCCACGTACACTGGACCTTTTGTTTTCTTGTATCTGCTCATAGCTCCAAATATGCATCTCACTTAAGGTGCAAATTCCACGTGGATATAAGTGTTTTCTAATGTTTCTTGAAAGGTTTTGGGGAATTTATCTTCCCTCATCATTTTTATTAAAGTTATCTTCTATGTATATGTTGTCACTTGCCATCAATGTTCCATAGAAACATATACAAATCATGATTAGTCAATTATGTGATGTGGAAACAGAACACAATTATGGATTTACCTAGATATAATCACTACTAACCTTAATAATCATTTCCCCAGATCTAAAATAATTAAGGTTATGGCACTTCAAACATGTTTTTCTTAACCCAGGTCTTAATTTTAATATTTATATTAAAAGCTACTAAATAAGGATAAGGAGTGGTGTTTACCAATATATTTACTGACTCTATTTTGGTAATGCTCTATGTTTTTGTTGTGGCTTTTATGAACTGGTGTTTAACCATTTATGTCGAGTCACTTGAGAATGGTTAGATACCACTACTATTTCTTTGCAAAGTTAAACTGGAAACTTCTGGATTTAATATTTAACAATGAACTTTTAAGTTTATAATGCATATTTTCTCTACAACGATGTCCATCCACTTTGAGGCTGGTAGCTCTGTTTTGTTCAATGTCAGGAAATAAGTAGTTGCAACTTGCAACTCAATTATTATGCTATTAACTATAATGTTGAAAAATGAAAATTGGCTGGAGGGGAGGAGAGATGAATTTTATGCCAGGAGTTCATTTTTGGACTTCTATTGTTGGTATCATTATGTCATATGTTTCCCCTTTCTTTTTGCCTTTATGGGCATTGTTTTGCAGTCCTGTGTGTCTTTTACACGGGTAAAGATTCTTTTACACGAGCCTTTTTCCATAGTCTGCTTCTCTGTAGCCCTTCTCATTCATCTGTAGGATAACAATCACTTGCATTGTGTAAAAAGGAATGTCTTTCTCTTCTTCATTGGCTCTGAAGAATGTTTTATGAATTCCATCTATGATCAGTAGTAATAGACATTTTCTACCTATTGTATCTAAAATTTCTGCCCTCTCTTATTGATTTCTTTGCTCTTTGTAGGATTTGACCCCTATCCAACTCCAGGAAGGTGAGTTTGTTTGTGTTCTTCCTAGTATTATGATACCTTACCTTTGTTTTTCTTCCATATATTTGAGTGACAAACAAGAAATAACTCTTTATCATCTACCTTATCATTCCAGATAATTTTTTATGATCTTATTGATATTAGTTCATTATAAGTTAGCTAAAACAATAGGAGAGAATTTCTGACTGTTTTGGTTTGTTTTATTAGCGCTTAGCAAGACATTTTCAGTGAAAAAGAAAAAGGGAAAGCTACGAAAGGCTTGGGATGGGAGCAAAGTTATTTATAATGTTGCATCATGGGGGGCTACAGCCATAGGGTAAGTGGTTATTCCAACCCGCTCCTATTTATAATTAGGGAACTTATTGTTGCATTCACCCTTCGCATAACTTGCATTTATTGTGTGGCATTTCTTGCCTTTGGATTTGCCTGCTGCCTGGTAGCATATGTTTAATTGTCTCATGTGATGGATACTGAATACCTTGCGTGTCATCTAATTGTTAGTTGCTTTTCACATCTGGTATACCAAAAGAAAGTTATTCCCAGTTAATTTCGACCTCTTTTATGCTAATAATAGTTTCGTTTTTATTTACCACTTACATATGACATTCTGGACAGGATATATCAAAACCCTGTTATTCTTAGGGCTGCAACTAAAGCATTCTGGACTTCTTGTCACGTTATATCAAAGCTTCTCTGATTTGGCAATGCAGCTTGTAGCAAAGTTGTGATGTAGTAATTTAACTTCTGTACCCTTGCTTGTGCTGCAATTTAGCTTGGCGTCCCATGCCCTGTTCGTCTTTAATTTAAAATTCATTTTCTTTGCACCACAGATCAATTGATTTCAACATAGTTTGATGTTGTAAATATCACTGCGCAAATGTTTCCGAGTGCAATTCAAAATTCGAGCTTTGAACATAATTTCCCTCCACGTCTGAGAACTCAACTTCGGTTGCCTCAGTGTTTCCTTCATTTTGATTTTGTTTCGCAATATTTTCTTTTTCCTCATCTTTTTTATTTGACACTCACTCCACGCGCCGCCTAAGATTATTTGAGCTTTACTTCGTTGAATTAATGTAACTGTGGTACGTAGTTATTATCGTTACGCATTTACAAATTTTAAGAGCAAAATAGAGGTCTGATTACTGTTTCTCCCAATTTTATATATTTTGGAAAATTGAATATTTTTTCTTCAATTTATTTTCCATTGCTTTCAATGAGTAGAATTTTCACTCCATAATCTATCAATGCAATTTATGCCTTTTCGATGTTGTTCTGATATTTAATTGTCGACACTATTCGATACCTAAAAGAAATGATGGATCCTCGGAGTGAAATATGCTATAAAAAAGTACCCCGGGAAAAAGGCTGAAGAAATTTTCTAATATTTTTCTTATTGTGAGATTATTGATACTTATCAATTAGCGACTAATATTTATTTATTTTTTTCTTGATCCAAGTTATTTTCAAATTTCGATGAAGTGATACGAGATATTAACATAAAATACAAGTTTTCAAGTAAACTTGTTTTTATACAATTTATTTTTCACCAAATATATTCTCAAACCAATAGCCACGTACCAATTCTTTTCCGAAATGTAGAGATTGAAGTAGCTTGTCTCTCAATAAAATCTTTTCATACAAATGTATTTACTTTCAACTTTTGTTAAACTAAAATTACAATATACTTTAAATTATATCATGAATATGCAATTTTAATTTCACACTATATGAACAAATTATACTTAAGAGTTTTATGCCACATCAAATGTCAGTTAAGAACAATATGGGCAGCAGGTTCTTAAATCTTAAATACTAGTCACTAGTTATGGTTACGACCGGAAAACTTGGGTTGGTATCTGTGAATGAAGATGGAACTAGAAGTTGGACCTTTTGGGCAGTGGACTGCGGTATGGTTTATTCTTGCTTCTCATCAACAATTCAACACAACCAACAACTGTTAGCCAAAATGTTCTAACTTTGTTAGTGGTTTGCACCAGACAGCTGCCCTAATCCACGTCACCAACTGTGTAGGCAGCAAAGAGAACATATTATTCAATTATATTTACTCACTGGCCACTGGGTTCCCCATTTCGTTACATGTAGTTCCATTTCAGAACACCAAAACTAAACACTTTCAAGAATTTGTCTCAATAGAAATCTCCACTTTCATTAATGATGGAGATTCAACATTGAAACCAAATTATTACAGGCAACTTCTCTTCTTCTGATCCGTATTCAAACACAACAACTGTAACATTACCAAACTTGAATTTCGTTAGTCTAACTCAAGCATATTATTCATCAACGTTACATTCCCCAAGAAAAACCTTGATGCTCCGTGGTGAACCACAGCTGCCTTCCGCAATTATTGCTCTGTCATTAGCGGCCATGTGTGCAATAATCTTGTAAATCATTTCAATCTGCATAGTTAGTGAAAATGTTATTTCATGATTCTTAATAAACTGGGTAACAAACATAATTGAGAAAGGAATAAAGAGAGGGATAATATATGTACATCTTCAGGAGCATGGCAACGGTCAGCTACTTCTTCAAGTGTCAATGGCTCAACAGGCTCTTTGCAGCTGAAAATAGAAACATATAAAATATTATTTAGTAATACTAACATACGTAAAAACTATACTGAAAGGAAAAATCAAATCCACTGAAAAAAAAAAAACACTTCGAATTCACGTTTTACAAGCCTCAGAGAGCAGAGGCTATACCCGAAATAAGCCCAACTAAGACAGAACGTTGGTACTTTAAAATAAATATTATACCTTGCCTCATTTAACACTGCCAATACTCGCTTCTGAAGTGCTAGTACTTCACCAGCAGCTTTTTTACCAGCTTCCACACCTAAGTAATATTACCATAGTTCAGACTTCAGATGAGATGGAATAATAAATGAGACTCACATAAAACAAGTTGCATATGCAATTCGGTGTGCTCGACTCAAATTTTAAAACAGAATTGGTCATTGACACCAAATACAGGACATGGTAAAAATTCTAAATGGGACATTTTCAACTTAATTGTTTATCAAAAATAAAGAAAAATCTAAAATGGGCAAAATAAATGGTATTTTACCAGGTTGATGATAAGCATTTATGTTGACAAGGGAGGCATAAATTCCTACTGCTCGTTCGTATAGCGCAATAAGAGCACCTACTGTTCTTGGTGTCACTTCTTGTACAGTGACTGTGATGGACTCTCGTTTATTAGCATAGAGAGCTGACCTTGTTCCCTATAGAAACTCCAATTTTAGCTCCAAGGAGTAAAAAAAGCACAACTAAACCACAAATAGTTTTAAAAAAACCACCATTTTCAGTAAGAAAATATGTTTGATTAGTATATCAGACCTGTAGCATACCAAACAAGTAGTCACCACATGTGACACCAGGTTCAAGTTCCCAATCATGACCAGGGGGTCTATCACGGAGCACCTCAATGAATGTCACAAAGAAATTGTGAACACCTTCCCTCAGTTGTTGAATATAGCTGTAAGGGGATAAAGATTTACCAGGCAGTAATCAATAAAGTAATAATAAACTATACTTAAAAACTAGTATGAAAACTAACGCATGTTGATCTGTGCTTCCTTTGTTTCCATAGACACTAATTCCTTGATTAACCTGTAAAATCCAAAAGTCAGATTCAGATGTCATTAACTCATGAGGGATTGAAGCATTTGTGTCTAAAAATAGTAAATGAATAGGATCCCTTGTTAACAATGTCTTGTCAAGTTAATCATGCGTCAGATGTGACACAAGTGGGCTCCACATGAAAACATGATGTATACACGGACATAAAAATCATGAATTGAAAACGACAGACTACAGAGTTCATGAGGCCACTTCCTTATGCAGGCCTAGCTGTAAACTTAATTAGACATCTACAGATTCACCAAAAAAATGGGGGGAAGAGTACAAAAATGTTACTTAGATTTGATAAATAAGAATAAGACATACCCGATTACCATCCAAGTCAAACTCCTTGCCTAGAGATTCCATGACCAGCTGCTGCAAGTATCTACTAAATAATAACAGGCTGTCCTTGTATGGAAGAATAACCATATCCTACAGATCAAGGAGGAAAAGAAAGCAATGAGAAATAGTCAAATAAAACAGAAGACAGACACTAATTGCTAATAAATTATACAATTTTCACCTTGGATCCTACACCATCTGTAGCCCAATACCAACATAAAGCCAGAAGAGCAGCAGGGTTATTCCTTAACTGCAAAAAAGCATACATTAACCAGAGTTGTAATTAGTTTCATGCCTATTTCCATACGCTTCACACCCAAACATCATGTATGCATTTGTCAGATGAAGCATTGGTAGTACATAATATGAGCATGGCAAGTCATTAAGTAAGAACACGCTCATGCATTGTTGTACAAGAAAATCCTTCACCGACATGTGCACAACTCTTAAAGAAATATTTAGATTCAACAAAAGATTTAGGAACTGATGTATACCACAGTACTTCTATTTGCCTCATCCATCAATGATGCACCAGCAAGCATTTCTCTAATATCAATGCCCTAAATAAAAAAAATATCATAAGATAACACAAAATATCAATGTATAAACAATGAATTTACATTTATGGCAACTTACCTGAAGGGCTGCCGGAAGCAGGCCAACTGCAGACATCTCTGACGTTCTACCTCCCACCCAATCAAACATAGGAAATCTAGCTAACCAGCCCTCAATTCTGGCAGTGTTATCCAACAAAGAATTTTCTTGTGTTATAGCAACACCCTGCATTATAGCATGCATTAGCAAATTGTAACAACTTCCACAAACTGAAACTGACAGCGGGCACACAAGTGATGCAGGGTAAATAGCATTTAGATCTTCATGACAGTCAAAACAAAAAAGAAACTGATCAAAGTGGCAATTTTCCAGTAAATATTGTTTCTAATTATAAATTAATACATAAAACTGTAATTATCTTACTGTTAATAAAGAAAATAATTTTTCACAACTCTAGAAAAATCATATATACACAACATAACTTCGTAAGTTTCAACTATTGCTTGACGGTGTCAGCAAATCTATGAAAATTATAAAAGGTATAGTAGATAGAAAAAATGGAATTTTGAGAATCTTAATACTGGTAAATGCAAAACAATCAAATTACATCTAGTTTCTTCACCCTTAAAAATACCTTTCACTAGCACCATAGTCCATAGTATATGAACTTCTGATTCAAATTAATATAGTGTATAATATATGGGGGAATAAAAATCAATTAAAAAAAGTGAAAACCTGAGATTAAACCTGTTTCGGGAAATCCAAGCCTGCTTCACGAAAGGCCTTCTGCACTTCTAATAAACCATTTCTAGTCTCTGGGGTACCTCCACTCTGAAGATAATCAAAATCCTCAAGTCAAAAATACCTTTCACACACTGGTAACAGAATCATAATCAAACAAAAAAGCACAATCTCATGCAGACCTTTGAAATGACAATGACAAGTGTTGAAGCTAGCTCTGGCCCAAGCTGTGCAATCTGATGATCAATTCCAGCAGGATCCGTGTTGTCAACAAATCTTATCTGCCAAAACACCAAATCATCTCAGGAGACTCTAAATAACATATATATGAAAAACTTAAATGCAGTTTCTTAAGTGCTTTAGTATTATTCTTTAATCAAAATTGAAGTTTCATCTCGGTAAATTATGTTGACCCTTAATTCCTATGAAGCCTGGATACTCCAAAAATGGAAAAGTATCGATGTCGTACCCGTATCAGATACTGATATGGCTAGGATACGTATCCAAGGAGTATCCAATTATTTTTTATTTTTTTTAAAAAAAATTATCGGATACGGCTTTGATACGGCTCCGATACAGCTCACAGTGGCTGGATACAACTTTATAACATGTGATACGGCTTGGATACCTTTTTTTTTACCCAAATGTTCATTTTATTAATATTTTAAAATTTTATTTTTAGCTTTAAAATTTTTAAACGGAAAAAACCTTTTAAAAGTTAATATAGATATTCTACAAAGACACATTTCTCTCTTTCTTTACCAATATTTTATATTTACATAAAATTTTTATCTATCCTTAATTTAAAAAAAAATAAATTATATCCCCGTATCCATGTTGTATCGTACCGTGTCGTACTAAGTATCTAGGGTTCATAGCTTAATTCAAATATTTATTAAGCAGGTGAAACCTCAATTCTGACTAGAGAACTCTTAAAAACGTGGATTTTGGGCTTAACTCAACCTACAAAGACATATCCAACAAACCTCTCTTATGCTAAGGACTGAGCATGGATTTCCAACACACCCCTCACGACAAGGACTGGATATCTAGGGCCAAGGATTGAACATGAATCACTAGAATAGGCTTGATACTATCTTAAGAAAGTTGTTTTGGGTCTAACTTAACCCTAAAAATTAACTTGTAAGTTGAGAATTGTCCTCATTTATGTTCACTATTTTAACTATATTACTAGTGGAGTGTGATCTCCAACAAGAACAATACATGGCATAGCGGCATGCTTACTTATTCTTGCAATTCGGCATTAATAAGAGGAGAAGAATAATTAAAGATAGATGATACCTTGAGTGGAGGATTATCAGGTGCCAATGCCTCAGCAACAAACTGTGGTCCAAGCGCCGAACCTCCAATTCCAATGGACAGTATTTGCGTAAAGCGACCCTCCGGAGACGAAGGAGGCTTAATCTGCCACCAAAACCTTAACCTGAACAAAATATTGAACTAACCAAAAGAAAGAGAAGAAGGAGAAGTTACTGAACTAACCTTACCACTAACGACGTCGTTAGCGAACTCGGAAACAGCGTCGAGAGTGTTCTCAATCTGAGTCCTGAGGAAGTTGTTGGGTGCGCGCGTGGGGTCCCTCAACCAGTAGTGCCCCACCATGCGACCCTCGTCGGGATTCGCGATCGCACCCTTCTCCAGCTCCTCCATAGCACCAAACGCCGCTTCGAAACGGGGCTCCATTTTGCTCACGAACTCGTCCGAGAACCCGACCCGACTCACGTCCACGTAGAGCCCCAGTTCTTTGTGCTGGTACAGCCAATCCACGTACCTCCGCCACAGCGCGTGAGGATCGGTCTCCAGTCCCTTGGCCTCCGTGCCGGAAACCTCCTGAGCCACCGCGCGAGGCGGCGCGAGGCTCAGGCTCCGATCGAAGCGGCGCGCGGGGAGGGACACGTGGTCTTTGCGGAGAGAGATGGTCAACGATGGCGATTGCTTGGGGTATCTTTTGAGAGCGGGGGAAGAGGAGCAAATGCCTGAGATTGATGCCATAGTTTTGGGATCGGGGTTCAAAGCTATGATTTTTATTTTACGTTGAGGTTGGGAGCATGATATTTGGGAGAAGGGAAGAAACAAAGAATCAAGTGTTGATGCGAATGGTGACGGAGAAGAAAGCGGTTTTTGTCTTTGTTTAAAGTTGTTTTCTAGTTCTGTGTGCTTTCTTTGTTATATTCACCAGATTCACGCTTCTTAGCATTTAATGAGAAATTAGATTGGGTAAAATTAATTACCAGTTAAATCTGTGCAGTAAGTGTGTCTCTAATCTCTATTAACCGTTTCGGTTCTAGTGTGTCTGTTCACTCTGTTGAGTGCTCGTGGTACCATTAGCAAATTTAAACTTGTTCAGGTTGTATAACTGGACATAGTATAACTAATTTCATGCGTATAACTAATCGTGGATCACTAATTATTATAAAGTTGTGACATCAAATGATTTAGATGTATGTTTTCTTAAAAAATATTCAGGTGAAAATAAAACTCATTGCTGTGCTGGGGAAAATATAACAATTTTTGATAAATTGACTTTCATTAACAGTGCTTTTGTTTTTTCCTCTTGACGGACGTGTCTCTGTCACGGGTGTGAGCAATGGGGCTTCGTCTAACATGAATCATGTTTCAAAAGATACCTTTGCTTTCAATAATTATTATTATTTTTATTTATTTCAGTTTTTCCATGTCTTTTGCTACCGGCGGGGGATTATTATCTCAATTAAAGCTGTTGATAAATCGATTTAATAAAATGCAGATTGTAAAAATCAAATAAAAAATAAAAATAACATTTTTTAATGAATTGAATCTGAAATTTAATTGTACATAGATTTGGATTTGACTTTCCCTATCACTATTGTAATTTTTCCTTTAAAATTAAAAATCTGAAATCTAAGTATAATTCTAAAAATCATTTTTTTTTTTTTTTTCTGTTTCTTTCATTTCTTTTGCTGCAGGAGCTGGATTACCTTAAGCCAAAAACCATTACAACGGGCTTATTTTAACATGCAAAGGCCTCGGCATTAAGCATTCGATGTCAATGCGTTTAAACCAAACCAAACAGCACATGTTTTTCCAGTGCATCTAACATCTTTTTTGGTGTAAAGTTTGAACCTAAGTAGAGTTATGGAGTCTTCATCCCGTGAACGAAAGTGTTACGCCTTTTGTATAGTGTCGTCCCTCTAGTTTTGGATATTAGGACAGCATTCCAGAAGGTTCTTTCCCTTAAAATGAATTTTCCAAACATGCAAGACTCCTGTTTTGTACGAGTTAGTTTGTCAATAATATAATCCCTCTAGCTTAGAAAACTTATATCGGATACAACAAATACCCTCTTGAATTTGTTGATAGAGGATACCTGGCCACATTCTACTTCATCCATCGCATTGCTGTTTTATGATTTATCATCCTTTACCGCGAGTGAAAAATTCTGAGCACCAATTGCTTCTGAAACTCATTACACAATGTAAACAAATATCATGCATTTGTGACCACTAATTCATCAAGTAACTCAAAAACATACAACAACTTCCTGTCTCTGCAGATTAACCCAATTAAAACCTCCCAAGACTCGAGTCCAGGCTGAAACCCCATCTCCACCAAGTCAAATAGTGCCATAGCAGCAGCATCAACCATTCCTGCCTCACAAAGAAGAACCAACAATTCATTCGAGGTTGCATAATGTGGCAGAAACCCCCTACCCAGCATTAACCCCAATAACCCCTTCGCCTTTTCCAACTCACATTTCTGGGTCAAAGAGTTAAGAACAATCCTGTAACTAGCTTTGTTCAAATACACACCCTGGTGTGGCAGCTTCTCAAGCATATCAAGAGCCTCCTCCAATCTACCTTCCCTACACAAACCCCCAAGTATCACATTAATCGTAACAGTATCAGCCCTGCACTCATTCTCCTTCATTTCCTCAAGCAAGTCCATAGCTTCACCAGTTTCCCCATTCCTACACAAAAAATCAATCAAAGAAGTGTAAGTAACCGTATCCGGTTTCAACCCACATTCCTTCATCTCATCCCAAACCCCTTTCGCATCCTGCAATTTCCCAGCTTTACAGAAGCCATTGACCAGAGCAGAGTAATTAAAGAGATTGGGACGACACCCATTACTCTTCATAAACTGAATCACATTCCTAGCACGCTCAGGGTCCCCTCCGCGGCAAAACCCATTGATGAGAGTATTGTAAGTAAGAGGGTCAGGCACAACGCGATCCCTCGAAACCATTTCCTCAAACACCTGAAAGGCTTCTTTGAGTCTTCCAATTTTACAAAGGCCGTCCATGAGGGTGGAGTAAGTAACCAAATTAGGGTAAGACAGCACCGAATTCCTCATTTCCTTAACAACGTGAAAAGCAGATTCAAGATCCCCTTTTTTGCAATGGTACTTAACGAGGATATTAAAGACGCAAACATTGGGCTTATGCGTGAGGGTGCGTTTGGCATGCAGGAGCAAATTCCGCGCCAAATCGAGGCGATCGGAATGGAGCAAGAGGTCGAGACACGTGGCGAGGGCTTTGGGGGAGGGTTTTTCCCTAACGATGGGTTGAATGGAGAAGAAGGCTTGGAGAACGTTTTCATGGAGGGAGGCCCTGGAGAAGTGCTTCATGAGGTTGACGAAAATGCCCTCGTGGAACTTGCAGGTTTCGTAGGTCATTTGGTGGAGCACGCGGTTGACGGCGTGGAACTGGTCGCGGCGCGCGAGGCTCTGGAGGATGGTGGCGTAGGTGGCGTTGTTGTGGTTGAAACCCTTCTGTTGCGAAACGGTGTTGAATATTTGTAAGGCCTCTTGTGGATTTTTCTGGCGTTTGATCATGTCGATGGCGGAGTCGTGGGAAATGTAGCTGCGCTTCCGCGGAGGCTCGGCGGTGGGTTGGGGAGGAGGCTCGGGTTTGGGTTTTGTGAAATTGAGCGGAGATATCCATGGAAGCGAAGACGAGGAAGAAGGGTTGTGCTTGCCGCGCTGAATTCCCGAAATTCTCATCTTCACAAACACTCACAAGGAGTAGTGCAGCCACGCTAGTTTCTGTAATCTTTAGCAATTTTAATATATTGTGAAAAATATGTATATTTTCCAGATATTAACATGATCTAAATTTGTTATACATTTTTTTTAAAAAAAATTGACGAACGGCTATGGAACATTTATTAGTTTATGTAAACAAAATCTACATAATTATGTGCAAAACTAGGTTTTTAATCGTATTTCAATATTTTAGAAGTTATTGTTTGTAAAATGTAAATACCATTTTATTAATAACAAATTTTACATTTTAGTCATTGTACTTAAAAGCATCTCATTTCGATTTTTAATTTATGATACCTTTTTTCTTTTTAATCTTTATTGCCTTTTTTTTTTCAACGTCATTTGTAATGCAATGTTGTAACTATGATGCGGTCCAAATTAAATTTGCTATCACCATAGCATTTATGTTGTAGATTTCTTTTATTTGTTGAAGTAATTTTATATTGGATTGTTTTTTTAATCACAAGTATAGATAACAAATAAACTTGTATACGTAGGTAATGTCCAAATTTATTTTAACTTAGATGGGAAATTTCTAAATTGACTAGACATGAGTATGAATAATAACCAATTTATTAAATTGAGGACGGTAATGGACACATATTTATCTATTTTATCCGTATATTAAATTTCTAGAAACTTAATTTACTTTTTAAAGAATTTATTTGAGATTTATGTAATTTTTACTCTATTTTAAATCTATGTAAGATATAATTTAATTAATGTAATCTTGTAATTTTTATTTTATTTTTAAATTATTGTTTTCTATATTTCTTTCAAAAAAATATATTTAATTAATTTTTAGATGAGGTGAAGACAAATATACTTGATACTTAACGGAGACGAGAATAAGACACAAATTTCATATATGTTGAGTATCAGAAATAAAGATGGGTATAAGGTACGAACTCAGGAATAAAGATAAAGATATTGAAACTTGTACATGTCTTATCCTATTGTTGTCAATGACTACGAGAACATTAATCAAGCTTTGGGTCAAAATTTATATTGATACTCCAATTCCTCCCAACATGAAAGAAAAGTTATTAAATGTTGTTCTAAGTGAAACAATGTTATTTAGGTTGGGATTTATCCTCCAAATTTGCTTTTCATTAGTTAATTAATGTGGTTGGTAGGCTTGAGTCTCGAAGTTCCATATACCAAAAAATGTTGAGCATTTTTTTTTACTACTTCTTCATGTTAGCCTTTCAACTAACCATGTTTGCTTTAAGTGACATATTTCTTTTAATATTTTTTGTATAAAGTGCTACTTAGATGAGGAGACTATCATTCACATTCTTCGTGATCATAACAATGTCAAGATCGTGTGAGAGGTCTTAATATGGATGGTTCAATAATTTTCACAAATGACATTTAATAGTGGACCTACAAGCAACTTTATCAACAACTTAGAAGTTTATTTTCTTGTGCTTGTTAATAGATTTGAAGAGTTAGAAATTTAGAGATTTTTGACAGACAAAGTTTGGTCTATATGGTATATCATGAATCAAATCAAAATTATGCTTAAGATATTTTTCCAATGATACTTAAATGGATATTAGAAATTTTCTTGTGAATAATAGTTCATTTTTTTTGTGTGGAAAGTATCATCAAACTCAATATTGATGGTTTTTCACTTGGTAGTATGTGATTCAGCTCGTCATATTGGCTCTCTCTCTTTTTTTTTTTTTTAAAGATTTTGTTTGGAGTCATACTACTAATATTCATATGGAATTATTTGTCATATATCATGTTTATTGTTCACTTGAAATCTTTGTCATAGACAAAATATTTGTGAATCAAATTATATTACAACTTTACATCTGATTACTAAATATCATTCATCTTTATATTCTTATTATGCTATTTAACTTAGTTGAACCTAACTATCCATTGAGGTTGTTTGGATAGATTAAGTGAATCGAAGTAACCAAATATTTGAGGTAATTATTTCACACTCCAAATGTTACCAAAACTAGTAGACATCATATCTCTTATTATCTCAAATTTACATGATAGTAACAATTAAATTTGCATGATAATTCTTAAGTAAATTATCTTATCTTATACTATCATTATTCATTTATTACAATTCATTTAATTAAAGATATTTTTCTTCACGAATAACTTTCTAAAAGATATTTTTACATAGAGATAACTCCATCATTTATATAAAAGGAGACACTCACATTACTCGTAACCCAATTCTTTTTTTATTGATTCTCTATTCACGAGATCATTTTTCACTTAAATATCAAAATCTCGTTTGTAAGCGTCTATAGGAGTTAAAAAGTAGAGACAACACGCTGTTCAACATAGCACATAGCACTTGTGAGTTTCGGTAAAAACACATATATTGTTGATAATTGGGTTTATCCTTCTGGTACAAACTTGGGAGGCTTTCTTTCTCTAATGCACATAGATCACAGAACTAATGTGCTAGTAGTTTAGTTAAACAAAATTCTATGTTTAGAGATAATTTGAAGATTTATAATCTTTATCCTCAAATTATTTGTCTCATGCGTTGACAGATGCAATAAGAGTTTCTCATTGGGGTGTAGTGTTTGGTGTTATATTCATGAATAATGATAAAAAAACAAATAAAAACTTAAGGCTGTTGTTGTTTTTCTTCCAAAGAGTGGAGATTGAGTATCGGGCCAGGCCCAAGACAACCCATAGTGCTTTTTTAAAAATAAAATATAAAAAAAAGGTGAATGAAAATGGAAACCGAAACGGTGGGTGAGAGTGAGAAGGAGACAGGTCAGTCCTACACATCGCATTGGCAGTTTATAATTATAAAAAAAAGGCCTTCCCTTCCCAATTGCTACAGTCACATTCCTTTCCTCCCAATCGCAATGGCAGAGAAGCAGCTGAACAGAGAGCAGTACGTGTACCTGGCCAAGCTGTCGGAGCAGGCCGAGCGCTACGAGGAGATGGTCGACTTCATGCAGAAGGTCGTCGCCGGTTGGACGCCGGCGTCGGAGCTCACGGTGGAGGAGCGCAACCTCCTCTCCGTGGCCTACAAGAACGTCATCGGGTCCCTCCGCGCGGCGTGGCGCATCGTCTCCTCCATCGAGCAGAAGGAAGAGGGCCGCAAGAACGACGAACACGTCTCCCTCGTGAAGGACTACAGATCCAAGGTCGAGAACGAGCTCTCGCAGGTCTGCGCCAGCATCCTCAATCTCCTCGACTCCCACCTCGTACCCTCTGCCGCCGCCGCCGAGTCCAAAGTCTTCTACTTGAAGATGAAGGGCGATTACCATCGCTACTTAGCGGAGTTTAAGGTTGCCGATCAGAGAAAAACCGCCGCCGAGGATACCATGTTGTCCTACAAGGCTGCTCAGGTTTACTTCTTTTTCAATTTTCAACCTTTTTATTTTTTATTTTTTATTATTCTTTCAACTACAATTGATCCATTCTTGTTGCTAGGACATTGCTTATGCGGATCTTCCCCCTACTCACCCCATTAGATTGGGTCTCGCACTCAACTTCTCCGTCTTCTACTACGAAATTCTCAATCAGTCTGATAAAGCGTGTGGGATGGCTAAGCAGGTGATACTCAATCCCAATTTTATGACATGTACAATCATGGCTTGTTATGTTAGGGTCAACTTGATTTCAACGTTTTGACTTTCTTGTTTCGTCAATCAATTTTCCTTTCCTCTTTGCTTTACTCAGAGGATTCCCGTCCATTCAACATTTTTAGAAAAATAATAATAATAATAATTATCTTCACTGCTGGAATGTTCGGGAGGGATTTTGACTACCAAGAATTCTGTTTGACTTGGTATATGCCTTGTGTTGTGTGGATGTATCTTATCAGAATATGAGTGGATTTTGTGAATTTCTCTTGTTTGGCTTGCCATGAGAATCTGTTTTCTTTAATTTGTCGAGGATTGACATTCACGCACGTTGCTAACACAAATCGTAGTTCTTACCTATATGTGTACTTATGATAGTTGAGTTGAGGTGGGTGAGCAATAAATTGCATAGTTGCAAACCTACCCAGTTACCTGGTAGGTTTTTCACATGAATTGAACTTTTTAAGAGAGAGAGAGAGATTGGGGAGGGGGATTACACTCAGAAGCAAGTCAACAAAATACTTTCACCTTGGTTCATCTGATTTTTTTTTTCAGAAATAAAATTTTATCATTGATCTGCAATGATATCATGGTTACCCCATTGCAAAATCTGGTCGTGAAGCAAACTGGTTTTTTTTTTTTTTTTTTTCTTTTCAATTTT